CGGATGGACGAACGAACGTACGACGGACGACACCCCATGGCAATAGCTCATCTTGACGATGTCAAGGCGAGCTAAAAATGAAGACGTAATACACGCATATGGCATTGGTATGATATGGCAACTGCGTATATGTACACACATACATCCATTCATGCACAATCAAAAAGATAGATGTAGATAAGATAGATATAAGATAGAGAAGATAGATATAAGATAGAGAAGATAGATACAAGATAGAGAAGATAGATATAAGATAGAGAAGATAGATATAAGATAGAGAAGATAGATACAAGATAGAGAAGATAGATATAAGATAGAGAAGATAGATATCTATCTTCTCTATCTGATATCCTATCTTCTCTATCTTGATAGAGAAGATAGATATAAGATAGAGAAGATAGATACAAGATAGAGAAGATAGATATAAGATAGAGAAGATAGAAGATAGAGAAGATAGATATCAGATAGAGAAAATAGATATATCAGATAGAGAAGATAGATATCAGATAGATATCAGATAGAGAAGATAGATATCAGATAGATATCAGATAGAGAAGATAGATATCAGATAGAGAAAATAGATATCAGATAGAGAAGATAGAGAAGATAGATATCAGATAGATATCAAATAGAGAAGATAGATATCAGATAGAGAAGATAGATATCAGATAGAGAAGATAGAGAAGATAGATATCAGATAGAGAAAATAGATATATCAGATAGAGAAGATAGATTTCAGATAGATATCAGATAGATATCAAATAGAGAAGATAGATATCAGATAGAGAAGATAGAGAAGATAGAATCCCACATACGAGTACGCCTAGAGAGTCTATCATTCTCAATTTCCATTTCATCCACCGGCATCACATTCAATTCATAAACAAATAACAGGAGAAAGGTACATAGGTACAAAGAACCGTTACCCTAGCCGCAACATGACAACACACAAGCAAACTCCTCTAAAAAAAAAAAAAAAAAATTCAACTAACTGCCAAACTGCCACAAAACTAAACACAAGAGAAAGAATCGTCCAGAGGCGCCCCCTGGTGGCACGGCAGCTCACCTATGGGACTGACTGGCGGTGCGTTGTCGGGACAGAATGCGGGCGCCTTGTCCACGATCGCCTGCGCCTTCTCGGCCGTGACCTTGAACTTGCTCATCTTAACGGTGACGTTCTCCCTGTGGAAGAATCGGCGGCGGGCGAATTAGCGACAAAACAGTAGGTGGGGGGGGGGGGAAGGGTTAGAGTGGAAACG